ATCTTTTTTTTTCTATAATTAAATAATTTTGTAAACTATCATCTGCTTCCAGATTATTTATGCTAATTCCTCCATTGTAAATATATCTTTTAAAAAACATTAATATTATTTTTAGTTAATAATAAATCAAATTAACAAAGGTAAATCATATATACGTTAAAAGAACTTCAAATACTTTTTCAAATAAAATTATGCCATCATCAGATCTTTTTATCCAATTATCCGATAATGCTGTTTCAAAATAGGGAGACCTTGCTTTTAAAATAGCAGAATGCGCTTTAAAAGTTTTGACATCCTGGTCTACTGCTCCAACCCTAATTTCTACATCATATGAACTTGATTCGTTCAATAACTTTGTCCAATCATTTACAAGTTTATTAAATTTATTAATATGTTAAAAGCATCTTCAAAGTCGATCGATTGTGTTAATTCGAGTTTGGGAACAATTTTCAATGACGTGACACTAATTCATGAAAAGGGGAAATGTTTAGCCGGGATGATGATGATAATGATAATAATAATAATGAGCAAAAAAAATTGTTCAAAAGCTTGAGAAACTACTTGTTAATTATAAACGAATCAGTACAAGCCCCCAAATTTTCATTTCCTGGATATTAATATTAATATTAAAATATAACCCTCAAGTTTTTTTGCCATACAAAAGGAGAGAAAATATATATAGTCGATGTAGGGGATGGCAGATCACTAAACTATGCTATTTTTTTATTATTTGATCCTGTTTATCGTAAAGTATATAGTAAGTTCGATGTTCCAGACATCCTTGATTTTCATTCAATCTCTTTTGGTGATGAATTAAAGAAAAATTTTTTTTTAATTACTCCCTTGCGGTGGTGGTAGCCGCGGGTAGATTAGAAACCGGAGTCTTGTTTTTCGCCAAATGATTTGTGATATTAATGAATCGGATGTGCACAAATATTGACGAAACAGTTTGCAAACTCTTGACAATGCGAAAATATCTAGAGGCGGCAAATCCTCGCATATTTTTACAAATATTTCCGATGAAAATGATGCAAATTTGTTTGAGTTGTATGCTAGTATGGACATATATATATATGTTAATTCTGAAGTTGCTGGTGAATTGGCTGATGTTGGCATAGATGTAGGTGTGGATAAATTTGATGTGGATAAATCGAGTGTTGACGATGCTAGCGTTAATATGGATGTAGATTCTGATGATAAATCGGGTGTGGGTGTTAATATTTTATTAATATTGTTGCCATTGTTGTCGTCAACAGTATTATTATTAACGTTATCGACATTATTAACATCAATTATTTTACAACCTTTTTTCTTTGAGACCTTTTTTGGCGCTTTAGTAATTGTTACTGCACTTCTTTTTCGCATTCTTAAATTCATTTTATGTGTTAGAAAGAAATATAAATTTAAAGAATTTGAAAAAAAGAAGAAAAATCGATTTCTTTTATATACAAAACGTATGCATTAATAATCATATGTATATATAATATATACACACGATATATGCAACAGTTCTTTTGATCATTTTTATTTTTCAAGCATTGTTAGACTT